CTTTTGAAACTTTTTTCCCATTTCTCTTTTGTAAGTAGGAAATCCATTAAAACTGCTTCTTTCCGATGAAAAAAGAAGTGATATCAGACTTGCCCAACTACATCTAATTTCTTACCCCTCCATCACAGCCTTATGCAGGTACAAGAGACCCTAAGGGGGAAAAGATCTAAAGCACACAGTGAAGACAACTGAAGTGTTTTCATTTTCTAAGTACAAAAAGTGTACAGACTGCTTAAGTGGATCAAAATCAATGTGGCTTTATGAGAATCCATCACTTTTCATAATTAAAGGTGGCATTAGAAAGAGAGCAAATGTTTTTGGTGTTTTTTTTTTAACCTGGCAGTTCAACCAACCCTCTTTATGATGTTATTCTTCAGAAGGGTTGCGGACACTGCTTGGAAAGCTCAAATTCCACGAGAGAGCCCGTTCTAATAGAAATGTAAAAACAAATAAATCCTGAGTTGTTTCTGCCAACATGAAGCCTGAGCCTGGTCGGGGGTTGGTTTCACATCAGTTTAACTCCAGTGTAATTCTGTTGTTCCAGGCCTTGCTCTCAGTTGTAAATAATTGATTGTAATCCAGAACAACTCTTGAGTTTAATGGAGCTATTCTAGATTTGCATGACTATAACTGCAAGGAAAGTCATACTTTAAAGGAGTAACTCTAATTTTCATTGGCATAGGCAAGAGCAAAAGCTGATCTTTCTCATTTTCTGACCCTTTTGGACACAGCAAGCCAAATTAAATGGTGCTCTAAGTTAGAGCTGAGACCTCGTTCCGCACCCTGTTACATCCGTTTCACACAGGGCAACTCCACTGAAGTTAATAAGTCAGATCCTGGTATAAATAGTTGTAGTTCCACTAACGTTGGTGGAGCTATGCTGATTTATGCCAGTTGAGGATTAGAGCCAGTGGGGCAATGCTGGTATGGCTAAGTGGTAAGTGAGGCCCGTAGATTGTAAGTGAATAAGAACACAGGTTTCATTGATAAAACAGCATAATGTGGCCCACTCAAGCATTCAGTGCAGTGTAGTTTATACCCTAAGGAGCTGCAAGATGTAAGTTTTAAATAGGAAAAGCAATGAAAAAGAGGGTACAATAAAAATGTATGCTCATATCCTAAAATAACTCCCCAACCCCCATCTCTTGGAAGCTATAAATAGTGCCAATAACAATTCACATTAGGGAAAGAGGGGCTAATTCCAGTCTCATACTGGTATAAGAGCTTGATTCAAAACCTCTGAATTTCAGAGGAAATTATCCTAGTGACTTCTGTGAGCCCCGTATCAGGAGCAACAACAGTGAAGTGAATGGAGTTATGTTGGTGTGAAACTCCTGTGACTGAATTAAGAACCAGGCCTAGAAATGTTCACTGTCCTGGACTATATTGGAATAGACATGCTTCTTAGAAGGGCAGAGGAAACAATAAAAAAGATACTTTGCTATAAATAGAAAGTGCTTACCTTCCTAAATGAGGGGCGGTTGTGGGTTCAGTGTTCAGCAATATCCAAGCTACATGATTCACAAGCTGAGGAACTGAAGCAAAAGTAGCTTTCAGCTCCTGTTAGGCTCTGTGGTTACAGTAGTGGTTTTGGCCTCTTCATTACATAGAACAGCCTAAGGGCTGCTCTTAATTACCCAGGTGCTACAGGACCCCTTCTCCTATCTCCCATTGAATCAAGCATTTGCCAGAGTGCAGTGAAATTCCATTCATCCCTTGCTTTCTCCCTGGCAAGACCTTCTATATCATTTAAGGATGCTCCTACCCTACAAGCAGGAATCCCTAAGGAGTAGGTTACACTGGCTGTAAAACTGCTGTGCAGCATTGGAATTATTCCAGATTTACACTAATGAAAATGAGGTCAGAATCAGACCTGTGCTTTGATTCTCATATCATACTGATTTTACTTTGCAGTTCCATAGTTTCAGCTACTGTAAATCCATGTAACTTCATCAACATAAAGGGAGCTACATTTATACTGACTGGGTAGGTGGCCCATTTACTTCACTGGAGGACACTAGGTTGAGACCAGAGTCAAGCACAAGGTCTATTGGAGGTGCCAGCTGTCTATAAGGCAGTCAGTCCACATCACAGCCCTAGCCGTGCTCTTCATTTCCTTGCAAGAATCCATGTCTCTTGTGAAGTACTTGAATGCTGCTAAGTTATGTGCCTCTCTGTTTGTGTTTCCAAAGCTGATGACTGCCATTTACTGTGCAAGTTACCCAAGGTGAAATGTTTACGCAATGGGCAGCGAGAAGGTAAGATCCTGTTGGCTTAGACACAGGCGGGTGGCAAATGAGAGAAAAGAAATTCATGAGGTGGGAATAGGAGGGGGAGGTAAGGAGGCAAGGCCAACTGCAGAGCTGTAGCAGTGCCTGGCAGGGGTGACTGTGCTGGCATGGTGATGGAAGATGTGAAAACAAGGCAAGGTCTGCTGGACTTCTTCAAAAATCAGTGCTTCGTGGCTCCAAAGGGAGATAGTGGTAATAAAAAGAGATGTTCCAAAGGGCTAGGAATTGAAATGGATTTCTCCCCCTTTAAAAAGATTGGACTATTAAGATATCCAATGAGGCTCAGCTGCAGCTTATTAGCCAGAAAATTAGAACAGGCAAAACAAAGCCCCGGGTCTTCTTTTTAAAGCTGTTTGTTCTAATGAAACAGACGAGATCAGCTCCCGCTGCTTCCATGGGAATTAAAAAAAATGTAATTAATTATATTTTAAAGATTAAGCAGATCCGTATGGAGGATGAATGTCTGCCTTGGCAGGGCTGTTGCTGGTGACCTCTTGCAACACTTTATCATGCAGCCCCCAATCTCAATGGATATTTTCAAGTGCTGTTTTCCAGTATTGAAAATAAAAACCAAAGAAAGTTTTAGCAGGTTTAGCACAGTCGTGATCCACTGGAGGGAGAGGAGTGAATATGTGTGCGCACATGTGTGTGTGTGTGTATGTGTGAAGGGATAGCGAGAGGAATAGAGAGGGTTTGTCCCTACATTCTCCCTCCAGGCTGGATTGCTGCTATGTCAGTATAGAGGAACCCTGTTAAAACATTAGAGTTTGCCTGGATTGTCCCTTGTATAGATGAGATCAGTCTGGCCCTATCTCCCCCTTTTTCTCCAACAGCCCAGGATTGCTGTGCGTCTTTCTCCCTGCCAGACTCTCTCTGAAACCAGTGTAGTCTCACTGCAGATGTTGCTGAGAAGGGCAGTCATATTTTGGCCCCAGTACAGAGGGGTTCATATCCCTTTATATACTGTGTGGTTGTTCTCTCACAAGACTCTTAGTATGTCAGCCTTTGATTGGGCATGTGGTGGAGAAGAGAGAGATAAATACAGAAGCAGTTAGTGGCCCAGGGACCAGAGAAGGGGATGCCTACACAAAAAAAATCTACGCAAGAGTTATGTACAGTCTTCCAGCCCTGCATTCAGCTCCCATTGACATCTATGAAAATTTCACTTGTGTGTCCAGTGGAATGTGTAACCCAAAGCCACATCCTTAATAAGGAGATCTCCTTTCTGTGGGAGAGTGGGTGCAGGAGTGAGTGGGTGAGTGTGGCAGTGACAAGGTGATAAAAGACTTGTTCCCTCTCCCTTCAAGAGAATTTGTTGCTGATGTTACAGGCCCATTCCAGGCTGACTTACATTTACATTAGATGACATTATCTGCAGGGGTTATTGAAAGTACTTTAAGTCTTGTTTTCCTCTCAGAAAGTGACAGCAGAAATAATTACATGAATTAAGAATTGGTGTAAATGCCATAAATCATTTATCTAGCAGGGCCCTTTACTTGTTGTAATGACCTTGGAAGGTGAGGAAACTGGCTTACATATAGCCAGGAGGGTAACTGACCTGAAGGAAGTTATGTGTACCTGGGATGGAGGAGGGGTGTGGAGGTTAAGAGTCAAGGGATCTGTGGGTCTGTGTCTCCTTTGCCTTGCATGGTGATGCCCATGGTCCACCTAGGTGGCACCTGAGCTTGTGTGTGTTTGAACAGGTTTGATCCGGTCCCGAATCCGAGGGGCAGATATGGCGCAGGCGGGAGTCCTGACCTTCCTGGACAGTCACTGTGAGGTGAATAAGGATTGGCTGCTGCCTCTCTTGCAGAGGATCAAGGAGGTAAGTGTTTTGAGGAGACCCAGAGCTTTCATAGGCCACGTATTAACAAAATCCACCTGCGTCTCCAGCTCCTTGTATAACCAGTGGCACGTGTGTCTGAATATGCAAATGATAAATCTCTTGGGAGGAAAAGGCTGACCTGTACATTGGTGTGAGGCAGAGTCTTCTAGTCTTGCATCTAGCCTCTCTTGAGCATCCAGCTATAACTTTCTGTCCTACTCAGTCCTAGGGGGCTCAGTTTATGTCACATGCAACTTTGCTGAAGGAGAAAAAACAAATTGCCCCCAGGTTGAATTACCCCATGTATACAATACTGGATCAGCCCTCACAGAGGATGAGAGTTTTGGAGAGAGCAGAAAGAAGGGGCTAGGCAATAGATATGCAGCAAAAACTAGCAGCACCCCTGGGTCTCCATTGCAGTAACAAGGAGGCAAATGATGAGTGGTGCCAGGGGAAAGGTGGGCATTTCTCCAGAAGACTTTTTAATTAGGCTCCTGAAGAATGCTCAGTGCTGATGATTTAGGGGAGTGATGGCTCTTTGAATAGGGGCTGAATTTAATTTCATGCAAATTAAGCTTTAATAAATTGATTTAATAGGATTTAAATTTTGCTGATTTCACAGCAGACAATGATGTTCTTCTTCCCCCAGAGACATTTCTCTCTTCAGGCACACCTACACCCGGCACCTTGTCATTCCAGTCAAAGGTAGCATGATCTTATGGGTTCAGCATACTGACCAAAAATTCAGCTCTGACTCACATGACTTTGGGCAAATATTGCCCTCATTTTACCTGTAGAACAGAACAGAGGACTCATCTACATGAGAAGTTTACTACAGAGTCGATTAATTAGCTCCACAGTAAATGTCTTGCATCTACAAGTGTGGTCCTCTTAAGCCGCGGGAAACTAATTAAATCTGCAGCAGGGTAGCATTTGTAAATACAAGTACTGCTACCTAGCCACATGGCTCGGCAGCTGTGGGAGCCTTCTGGCTCAGCCAGCTTCTCCACCTCCTGACACAGCCACCTGCTACCTGGGCCTGACCCCCACGTGTCCCCTGCCAGCCTGGGGCTGCCTCCTGGAGCCTGGGCCACACTGCTGCCACTAGCTGGAGCCCAGGCCTGGTTCTCTTGTCCCCTGCGGCTGGAGTCTGGAGCTCCTCTTGGCTGCTACAGGGGAGCAGAGCAGGGCAAGAGCAGCCCTGGCCTAAACTGCCACTCCCAAGCTCAATTTGCTGCTGTCCAAAGCACAGGCTTGGGTGTAGTCTACTGTGGTGAAAATTGCTCTGCATTTTATTCAGTTGCATTAATTGCACATGAAAATATGCCAAAGTATGATAATACTTAGGTGCTGCACAAGGACACATTGGTCATGTCTGCACTGGGCACTGCTAGGAAGATTAATGGGCAGGGCAAGCTGGACAACAGTCCCAGGCACTGCCTAAGGCAGGGGCAGGCAATTATTTCAGGTGGAGGGCCACTTACTGAGTTTTGGCAAGCCATTGAGGGCCACACGACAGGCAGCCAGGGGCAGATAAATGTTAATTTTCTAAATTTTTTAGTGGTCCTGTGGGCTGGATAGAATGCACTGGAGGGCCACATCCAGCCCATGGGCCGTATTTTGCCTACCCCTGACCTAAGGGGTGGGGGTGAGCCAGAATGGAAGTAGAGGGCACCTCATCCTCCTATTCCCCCACCCCCCACCGCAGAACCTTCTCTGCAGTGGCCTCTGGCAGCAGGGAGGACAGAGAAGTGGCAGCAGTGGCATGCTGTACAGGTAAGGTAGCTGGAGATCTGTTGTTGCTGAGGGAGTTGGCCCTGCTTAAAAATGCTGTTGTGAAAACACGTCATACCCTTGTACTTCAGCTCGATGTGCACCCTGTGGGCTGCAGAAAATGTCAGGCAGCTGCTTGTGGGGCATGCCCAAAGTTATTCTCAGGCTCTAGCTTGCTCCTGGGCGTGGGGGCTACGCAATCTTTTCTTGACATGATGTGTTCAGACCTGGAGTAAGTGGGCTTGTTTTCCTGTGCTCCCAAACACTATCTGCCATGCCCTGCTTGTCCCTATTAATTAGCTGGAATGTCAACCATGCTTGGAAGAGAAGAGTATTTGTGCACTGTGCAGTGCAGCACCATGTACAGGTACCTGTGTTAGCTCCACATGAGCTGGTGCCTATCCTGTTTCAATTACAGTATTTAAATATTGTATTGGCTGTAATTATTAGCAATGAGTGTAGCCTGTTGGAGACTACTGTTCATTATGAAATTATATAGTTGCATTATTATCATTATACAATTATTTGTGTATTTTATTAGCAGTGATATTCCATTAATTATACTTACTTAGCTAATGAATAACTAATTAATTATCTGAGGTATACAAAGGCAAAATGACTTGTCCAAGATCCCAGTACTCTGTGAAGATGTGCTTGCTTTGCTTCACAAGCATAGGCCATGATTTTCCATGTTGGCAACTTTCTCTCTCTCTGCAGAGTCCTGTGACCCTAATGGGAATCCCCCACCAGTCCCTGCCAGGGGGTACAAGCACAGACTAGGTTCCTCAGCTGTGAGTTTTTGGAGGCAAACTCTCTTCTCAGCTTGTTTAGGGATTACCTAGCATATTGGAACCCTGAGTTTGTGCTGCTGCAATACAGCTAATAAACAGCAGTTTAATTAAAATATTTGCATATGATTATAGTTGTTATGAAATGATGATAAGACTCGTTAATTTCTACCAGAGGCTCGGATCTGGCTTGCCCAAGAACAGGATTTGCCACTGACGTATATTCTACTGATTGCTTTTCAACCAGGGCGTAGCCTTTTAACATGCTCGCTCCTCTTGAAATCTCTCCATTCTAACCTTCCCCTCCCTGAAGTCTACCTCTGAATCTCAGAAGCAACAGCTTTTTTCCCCATGCAAAGCATTTGACATGTTTTGGCAGACTGAAAGCAAGGGGCATGGCAGATAGAATTGGCTTTCGCTTGCAGTGTTGTGGACGGTAGCTCATGCTCAGCATTGATGTGATAAATGAATGTGGATGCCATATGCAGCAGTGCCGTAGGAGTTTCATTACGCAGCAGCAGCAGCAGCATGGTCTGAATGTAGCATTAAAGCAAAATGTCACCTCTGCTGACTTCTTTTTACTTGGAGCACCATCTTTTTCAAGCATATATGTGGTTTGAAGTAGAAGGTGGTTCTATGGTAGGCTCTCTCTATTGGCCTCAGTGCAAAGAACTTTGTACAAGACCCAGTATGCCACTCTCCAAAATGTGTCAGGGAGCGAATTGGAAAGTCCTAGAGGACCTTTGAGCCATATGAAGTCACTGGGAAATAGGACTCTGAAGGGTTAGAGAAATCCACTTATAGGGGATTTACATCCTGGATTAGGATGCCCAGAAGAGTATGGGGGCAGAGTGGTTAAGGCAGTTTGCCCTGGCTTCAGAGGCATTCGTTTGAGCCTCCCTCTGGAATTGTACCAAAGGCTGCTCCCAGCTGACCAAGTTGCATGTGGGTACCTGGTCATTTGGGCTGGAGAGACAAAGGTGGCTGGTCCTCATGCTTATCTCAGCACTACTTTATTCACCATTTCCGGTAGAAACTGGTGTGTCCTAACTGTGTTAGCCCAATGGGCTGCCAGGCTTAAGTGGGGCTTTGGCCTTGACCTCAGGGCACAAAGACAATGTAAGAGGCTTCCACTAGTCCCTAGTGGGTATTTGCCTAACATGTTGAACTATTGTACAGGGATAGGAGGCAGCATCACTGATGCATCTGGAATAAAACTGGGAGTTGCAGGTCAAGGCCCAGGGGTGTTGTAGAAGTGTGTGTAGAGTGCCTAGGAACAGAACAGCAATGGGGGCTGTGGATCAAGATTAACAGGGTCTTGACAAGGTTGTACAAGTGAAGTCCAAGACTGGATTAGCAAGAGGTGCTACCAGGCTGTGTTGAGATGATGCATTAGAACAGGGGTTGTCCTGGGAAGCCACTGGATCCAGCCTGCAGATCTGGAGGGCTTTGCTTGTTCCTGCACTCATGCCCATACTGGGGCTAGGCAGCGAACAGCTGTGTTAGGCCAGGCAGCTTTCAGCTGTGTCTTCACTGCTGCCACTTCTCTACATCCCTTTTTCCCCCCAGCTGCAATATGAGTGCAACTTCCAGCTGCTGAGGAGTTGCACTGGAGCTGGCATCTCCCAGTAGAGCTCATGTCATAGCTGGGAGACAGGAGTGGGGGTGGGGGTGGGGAGCAGGGAGAAGCAGCAGCAGCATGAACACAGTTTACAGTTGCCCAGCCCCAGCACAGTTTCCCACCAGATAGAAACTACTGGGGGCAGGGAGCAAGGAGCTGAGAGAAGCAGCATCAGCACAGACACAGCTTCTGGCTCCCTGGCCCCAGCAGTGATGCAGGGAAAGACTCTCCCTCTTCCCCCGCCCCCCACGTGCCACCGAAACTGTCGAGTCCACATCAGTCTGGACCTAGGTTTTTCCAGTCCATGGCTTGCTAAAGGTTTCTGGCTGCTGCATTAAAAGAAAGGTGTCTGGGACCCCTAGGAATGGAATGGTAGGTGATGTTTAGATCAGCCTGGGGAGCACTGGCCATGTGTGAAGCAGCCATGGTGTTGCAGACCATAACTGAAGAGTATTTGTGAAAACTGATTTAATTTCTGTTCTATTTCCTTTTTTGTTGACCCCAAACTTCACATCCAAAGGTACAAGGTCATTAACTTGCATCCATTAGTTTCCCTGCTACCTGGCACACAGCTTCCATCCTTATTCCAGGGTTAAAATACTGATCAGGGAACCATATGAATATGAAATGTTACTGCTGCCACCTTCAGGTTGGTGTTGAAAAGAGGACTGGCTAATCCTCTGCCATGTTCTTTTACAGCAGAGATGCGTGTTGTATAAAGGGCTTTTCTTCCTTTGTAACTGGCAGGAATGGTCTGTTTTGTTTTAATAAAATTAAAGTTTTCAAGCAAATTAGGAATGACTAGCTTTAAATAAATC